AGATTTTGTGTATTTCGCCTTGGTGATGGCAAAATTCCTCGTGTGCAGTCTCTCCAAATGGCTATGACTCTTACGCTAAGCCCGATTAGGCACGATAGAGCGATAAGGATTTGATGCCCCTCCTCGGGCGAGCTTCGGCCAAAGTATCCAACGTGTCTCACCTCCGGGCATGATAGCGGGCAGTGAAGGTTCCTACCTAATCTAGAGACCTTTGAGCAGTATGTTTCATCGCGGATTGGCGTTGATGGGTGTTGGTTGTATGGCTATTTTCCTTCTTGAGCGACCATATAGTTCTAATAAGAGGTGGGCATTATCAATTATGGCAATTATTTCGTGCCCATCATAGGTCTTGAGGCAAAGCGTACTACAGAGCATCATCACGGCAATAGTATAGGACAAGCCGCCTCATGGTTTCGGAATGAATTATTGCCTGTCAAGACTTAATTCGTCTCAAATCCTCCTCTTTTCTTTCCCGTCGGATCAATCGGCCTATATATATACCTTGGGTACTTGCTTTGTGAGAGGACCTCCCGAAGCTCATGGAACGGATCAGGAATCAAACAATCATTGTTGTCAGCCGCTTTCAGCAAATGAGCAGCTTATGGATATATATATATGTTAACGACTATATGATTGACGATGCGTCTGGGTTTAGGAGCAGATTGGCAATGACGTACTGTAGACTACTCCTAGATGATCACGTGCCAGGCATTTAGCCTTCCACTAGGTAGACGGAGTAGTGGAGGTGATCAATCATATGGGATGCATCAGCCAGCCTCTTTGGATTATCAAACATTCAAGTCAAGAACGCTCGACTTCTCAAGATGGTGAGAGACTTCTATGAAAATTGCTGCATAATTGGAAAAAACTTCTCAAGTCATGCTTGCATATGCCATGGGGCTTGATGCTATCTTTATCAACTTGTGTATCCCGAATTATCACTGACCTTCCTAGAAAGTCTTGACTTGTAACCTTGGATGGGGATATAGCTTGTTGTGTTCATGGTGTCTCACTGTTACAGCACAGCCATGAGCGACCATGACTGCATTCTGCATCTTGGACAAATTTCCGGATACCGTGTGCAACCAACTACCAACTCGACCAATGCCTTGAAGCTAAAAAGTCACTCATTCGGCTGCCAAGATGGATAAAGACGCTGGCCACCTGAGGAGCACAGGAAAATGCATGCATTTGCTTGAAAATAAAGCTTCGGTAAGCTTGGATGGACCGGGTCACCCTGACAGATGCTTAATGCAACATCCTTGGTGGGCCACACCCCAAGCTCAAGCATGGATCTCAGCATATCGAAACAAAACTCGTTTGTTGCCGCCGAAGCCTGCAGGTGGCTGGATGGCCATCTGGCTCATCACGGCTCCCACAGTGCTGATTGGTCATACAGAGGTAAAGATGTGAAGCGCCTGCAGGTAGCAGCCTATCAGACCGGCAGATCAACGTCCAGGGACCAAAGAGCGGCTGCCTGGCACAGCCAATAGGACAACAAGGATGCCCTCTATCAAAGACCCACACTTCAACACCATGTCCTTTAACCGCCGGGCAACTTCTGCCATCCAGTGATATTGCACAAGCATGGGCAATCGACATGAGGGACCTACCCAGGTACCATGCAAAAGATGTCCCGGACAATTCCAGCCGAGTATCGCTGTTTCAATGGGACAATTGCCTTGTTGGTGTCTCGAGGTCATGGGAGGACAGGGTACCCTGTCCGCACAATACAGTACCGCTTCACATAACACCGCAGCTGTCCCAAATCTCTCTTGTGATCCCCTCTCTGTTTCCATACCGCCCGTGATCCTAAATTATTCAAGATTACAGAGGACTCAGAGTTCATACCTATACTGGTGTTACGAACCTCAGCAACACAAAGTTCTCAAGCGCCGACTGCTGCTGACAAAACCAGGCCAGCGGAGTTTGACCTCACATCCTCACAATCACTTGGGCGTCTAAATCCAAACCGAGTCACTTAACGGGCGCCTGGCATCTGCCTATCACAAGTCTTGCTGCTACCCGCCCTTCTTTCTGGTAAGGCCATCCTCTGTTACTATTCTCGGCATCTCCCCCTCTCTCATGCCCTGTCCCGTTGCTGGCGTTTTAATGGTGTCGAATGAGAGTGCTGCTTCCCTATGTTGCCGCCAACCTCAAAACTCGCCATTTCCCACTCGAGTCCGCCAGGCCGGGCCTCTCTCCCAATCCTTCGATAGCTGGTCTCTCTGTTCTTTTGTAATTTGCTCTGTTCTATTACGGCTGTGAGCTTGGACTGCGTCGAAGCTCTTATACACCCACTTGCACATCTTTCTGTTGATATCTTTCTCCTCTCACACATTCACCTGTTATAAACATGGCTGGCCCAGGTTCGTCTCTGATCTGAGAGAGAGAGCTGATGACAATCAACGATCCATGATGCTGACTGACTATTCTCTAGAAGATAGGAGGCGGCCTGCCGCACTCAACCTCGCTTCAGCACGGCCTGGTACCTCGGAATCTTCATCCTCGGACGGCTCTCTGAAACCCAGAACTCCTCGATTTGCTGAGGCTACTTCTGTTCACTCACCCGTCGAGGCTCGGTCCCCCTTTGCCGACCCCGAGAAGTCGCACGTTGCTCAACCTCAACCCGCAGACGTTGGTTTTGGCTATATCGGCCAGCGAGAATCCATTCCCGTCCCAATGACTCCCAAGACGCCACTCAAGAGTGCCATGAAGGTGCCAGGGACGCCTGCTCATCTCAAGAATCCCTTGAGCCCAACATTTCGGGAGGAAGATATTCTGGAGAAGCGCGAGGCGTCAACTGACAAGGAGCAAGCGCGCGATGTGGTATGTAACTCCTCTATAACAACTGACTCTGCGACATCCCACTTACACTTTGACAGAAAATCAAGGCCCGAGTCCGCTTGGCCAAGTTCGCTCTCCGTGGTGTTAACTTTAGCTGCTCTCTTATTATCCTTGCCATGCTTTCTGCTTCATTTACAATCTTTAACGCTACCAAAGCTTTGCCTGATCAAAGCAAGATGCCTTCATGGGCCAAGAACACCAGCGCATGGCCCCAGAAACTTGTTCTTGCCATGGCATGCGTGTCTCTGGTCGCTTGTATTGTTGTTTTCATCTCCTACTGTCGAGGTGGTCACCGACGTGCCGAGAAAGTCGGTACCTACTATACCATGTTCGCCATTGGCTGGGTAAGTCGCGTACCTCGTGGGTTTGGCTTGAGCTAGCATTGACTTGATATAGTTCATTCTTGCCTTGATTCTATGGGTTGTCACAGCTGTTATTTTCCAGAACTCAAGGAACAACAGCGGAAACCAGGATATGTGGGGTTGGTCTTGTGTTAACAACCATCGATCTGAAGTCTTCGGTGAGAAAGTCGACTATGCTCTTGTTTGCCGTCTTCAGAATTGGGCCATGATCTGCATCATCATTGAGGTGGTCATCGAGGTTCTCTGTATTCTCCTCTACAGCGTCGTCTTCTATCGTTACTACACAAAGCGACGCCTTTTCAAGTCTATGGACATGCGAGACCGTGCTCGATCCGACCTCTACCTCGCCCAGCTCCGCAGCCAGTCTGCTCCAAACACTCCCGGCTTCGGCCCCAAGTCTCCCGCTCTCAGCGCCTATGCCATGTCCCCCCGTCACCCTCCCGCTGCCTATCGAAACCTGTCCGACATCAGCGAGAACCCCACCACCTTCACGCCTGGTACCCAATTTGCTGAGCCCAAGTCTCAATTTGCTGCCCAGGAGACTGGCTTCAAGCTCCAGGCTCCTCCTATGAAGGCCCCTTCTGCTACTCCCAAGCTAAATCAATCTGCCTTCACACCCACTGAGGCCTCGCCTCCTGCCATCCCCACTGTCCAAGTCTCGCAACACGGGCCTGTGAGCACTGATGAACCCACTTATGAGGCTGTCCCTATCCCTGGTGCCTATGCCGGCCAGGCTGTCAGGAGTCCACCTCCTACGCAGACTCATTTTGGTCAGGGCTACTAGATGGTGTTGACTTTTTCCCGAAAAGACAAAAATGCAGGTTTGATTGATTTGTTAGTTCTGGCTCAGCGAGCTTCAGCCGCGTTCTTTAGGCCACGGCTTGTTTGGGTTTATATATCATGGGGCGGCGATACCACACATGGCGTTACGACGGGCAGATCCAAGATTTGACTCGGGACCACTTTATTTATCCTTGACTTTTCCTTTGTTTCACTCTCCTCAAAGATAACAGGAGTCGTATATAGTGTACTGTAATTTGGGTATGGATGTACATTCGAGCATGTGCAGAGGATGACGAAGACGATGGAATGACGAGCTACACACAATACTTTCGCTCACGAGGGCTTTGCAGGCTATCGGATTAGGTACTTTATTTAATCATCAAATTGGTATCTAATTTGTCGACGGTACAGTGACCTTCAGAAGGTAGCATTCTTCAAGTCGTTAAATGTCGCAGAGACGCCTAGCACTGAAGAAGTGAATGAATAAATAGTAATTATGGATATCGACATGTTATTATACCACAACTCATACATCCTATCAAGTCACTCGGCATTTGTATTCACGCGAAATTTGGTCAAAGTCTTGAAATAGAAAAAGGAAAAGCATTCATCATGATAACGACACCCTAAATAACAGAGACAAAAGCAGGTTAAAAAAAACCGTTGCATTACTTTTGGTAGCCCCCAATGCACCCCCCAAAGGTATTAAGGGCGCAAAGGACTGCCCCCGAAGCCTTTTGCCATGCGGCCAAGTCGAAGTTCTGACCTCCTCCCCGACGGTCACCTTCCGGACCGGCGGCAGCTCGAATGGGAAGGCCTGCCGCCCTTCCAGCGCGGTACTCTAGAAACGAGATCTATCAACAACTGCCACAAGAGATTTCTCCGTAAGCTCCTCCCAAAGATGTCAGGCTGCCCTGTATCGTCCACTCATAAATAGCTGATGAGGCAGCCTGGTAACGGATATCGGAAGACCCGTGTTGCTTTTTTCAATTTTTTTTTAGATTGAACTTAGATGAGGTCGGCAACGTTCATGGGCATCTCCTCAATCTGGGTGCTGTAGAACTGCTCAATCTCACGCATCATGCGGACGTCCTCAGCGGTGACGAAGTTAATGGCGACACCCTTTCGGCCGAAACGACCACCACGACCAATTCGGTGAATGTAGTTCTCACGGTTGGCAGGGAGATCATAGTTGATGACCAGGGAAACCTGTTGAACATCGATACCACGGGCCAAGAGATCAGTGGCGATCAGGACACGAGAAGAGCCAGATCGGAACTCCTTCATGATCAGGTCACGCTGAGCCTGGTCCATATCACCGTGCATGGCGGAGACGGTGAAATCACGAGCAGTGAGCTTGTCGGTGAGCCAGTCAACCTTTCTGCGGGTGTTGCAGAAGATAACAGCCTGGGTAATGGTGACAGTCTCGTACAAATCGGAGAGGGTGTCCAACTTCCACTCCTCCTTCTCAACGGCAATATAGAACTGCTTAATACCCTCCAGGGTAAGCTCGTCCTTCTTGACCAAGATGCGGACGGGGTCACGCATGAACTTGGTGGTGACCTCAAGAACGTCCTGGGGCATGGTAGCAGAGAGAAGGACAACTTGGGTGGACTGGGGGAGAAGCTGGAAGATATCGTAGATCTGCTCGGTGAAACCGCGCTGAGATGATGTTAGCATTTGGATCTCAATGGTAAGTTGTTTTCCTTACAGAAAGCATTTCATCGGCCTCGTCGAGAACGAACATCTTCATGCTGTCGGTCTTGAGGAAACGGCGCTGGATCATGTCCTGAACACGACCGGGAGTGCCGACAACAACCTGGGGGCCGTCCTGAAGGGCCTTCATATCCTCACGGACACTGGTACCACCGATACAAGCGTGGCACTCGATTTGCATGAAATCTCCGATGGCAACAACGACCTTCTGAATCTGCTGAGCAAGCTCACGGGTAGGAGCAAGGATCAGAGCCTGGCACTGCTTAACGTTGGTGTCGATCTTCTGGAGAACAGAGATGGAGAAGGTGGCGGTCTTTCCAGTACCTGACTGGGCCTGAGCAATGACATCGTGACCCTTGATAACGGGCATGATAGCACGCTGCTGGATAGCAGAGGGACGCTCGAAACCGTAGGCATAGACTAAGAATTATTGTGAGCGGCATGCGAGGGATTTGTTGAGGTGTGTGAGACACTTACCACCTCGGAGGAGCTCAGACTTGAGGTTCATGTCATCGAAGGAGTCGACGGTCTCATCGTAGTTGGACTCGATCTGTCCTGCAAGGCATGTGTGGTCAGCAAGTCTGTTGGTGATACGGATGGCTTGTTCTCATTGCATGAGCCGCTCGGGAACCCAAGCGCATCGTGAAGGACGCAATAACTCACCCTCGGGGACATCCTCAAGACCCTTGTCAGCCATATTTGCGGTTAAGGCTTTGGAAAATCTAGATCAAGCACAGCTCGATCTAGAGTTGATAAATCGCGGGGTGACGGAAGCGAAAAAAGAGGGCAGAACTTCTACTGGAGAAGACTGCGCCGTTGTGTCGTTTGGTTGAGAAAAAAAACTGGTATCGACTAGGATCAGGAGTCTCGTGAGAATGACGAGAATCGACAAGAACCTAGGATGGGGATGGTTATTTGTGTTGTTTCCTTTGGATGGAGTATGAAGGAGAAGAGGAAAAAAAAGTCGAATGAGGGGCGGTCGTGGAGGCAGTATATTTTTTTTCATTGCTGCCCACCCGCTTACCTCAAGAGAGGCACTGACCAATGATAGAAGACCTTAGCGGGGCATCGGGATTAGGGTACATTTCGTTCGGTGTCTCTGCCTTGCATTGGCAGGGCACTTACCAGTCACAGGGCAGCCACCAGTCTAAGGTCTCTACAGTACGGTACAGTACAGTATGGCGAGTAATTTTTTTCCTGAATTTTTTTTTTGCTTTGGGTTTTCTAGGAACGTAAGAAGTTTTTTCCTTGCCTCATGTTCACCACCTACCTACCTATGATAACACAGGCTGCAGTCATCCCACTATGCCCCGCCCCTCGCTAGAACCTTGAAAGAAAAAAAATATGCCCCTCCACCCACGGATCATCGTCCGCCACCTACAACGCTGCTTTTTGGTGTTTCTAGTGACTGATTGTAGCCTGCCTGTGTGTGGCATGTGGCATGCCATTGTTCTCAACTTCAATAAGAAGCTTGTCATAGGTTGGCCCATCCATACCCAAGGTATACACATGATAACCGCCTAGTGTCTTTAAGGTGCAGGGGACGGAAAAAAGGGATGCGGGTGACTCCTACTTCTGTTTTGAAACTATTGTTCACAGAAGAGAGCATTTCCTGTTGCAAATGTACTATGACAATTATATTCCAAAACTGTAGAGAATGGTATATCAGTCTTCGGGGTTGTCATCTTTCGCCACACATCCAAGATATTCCCTCGCTCGCTGAGAGGAATGATAAACCATATCACTCGGCTTGTTATAAGCTACCAAGTCAGCTGGTGGTTTAACAAACTACAAGCCTACCCTTTGCAATGAACAATCGTCAAATACCCATGATCAGGCACCTAAAGTTAGGCCAGAGTCCACACTTTATGGAGAGTCACCGTAGCCTCACTTTTGAGCAAGAGTCAAGCTGCAGTGTAACTCCAGGCAGTCTCATCTTTTCCCGTAAGGCTGTTACCGGAAACAATTCCTCAGCCGAATTTTTCTTCCGCCCACACTAAATTTAGTAGGTAGAAGTTAGAACTCGCCGTACCTGGGTGATATCAACGTAGAGGTACCTACCTACCTACGTATCGTATCATAGGTACCTCACCTTACCTACACTTCAGTCTCGTTTTTCTCATGAGTTTTGATTTTCAGCGGACTCTTCCCATTTTCGCTCTACAAGTTACTTCATTCATATTTTCCATAGCAGCCCAGGCAACTGCGGGCTCGGCACCACTCAAATGCCTTCAGCCATCGTCAGCAATGGCACTGGCCATCATGATTCACTCTGTGATAGGAGAGACGACAAATATGAGTCAACTTCCCAAAGTGACTCAATTCCTCCTCATCCACTAGGACTCAAGCCATTAGGCAACCAGTATTTCTTCACGGGTCGCAATGCGAGGCGCTCAATTGGGAGCTGGAGAATTCTGCCAGACGAGGTTCTCTCCCTTGTACTAGAGCAGTTTGATGCTGCAGCTCTCTTGAAGCTTGGCCACACCTGCAAATTCTTATACGCCTTTTGCCACTCTGATGAATTTTGGAAGCCTATCTTTCTCCGGTAAGTCACTTGAGACATAAAGGCACTCTGAAGTAGCTGTTAAACTAAGCTCTGTGAAGGTCACCACCACCAGATAACAAGGATATCCGATGGCAAGGATCATGGAGATCAACTGTTCTAGGTCTGCCCAGTGACCAAGGGACCAAAGTCGACTGTAGCAACGTCTTCTCAGATGTCCTTCACCGGCCATTTGCCTGCAGTCATGTCATCCTTACCCGGTTCACCTCACATATTCCCAAGGCAAACCAGATCCGTCGCTTCGAGAACCTGACTTACGATCAGTATGCCGAGAAATGGACTGAGCAGCCATTCGTGCTTACCAAATGCATCCAGGAATGGCCAGTATATGAGGGGTGGACTATCGATAGCATGCTCCAGATGTTTTCCAAGGTCGAGTTTCGTGCTGAGGCTGTTGACTGGCCATTCGCAACCTATTACACATACATGAAGAACAACAGCGACGAGAGCCCTCTGTATCTCTTTGACCGGAGATTTGCAGAAAAGATGGGGATCAGTGTCGGTAAGAAGCCAGGCACTGCATACTGGAGACCAGACTGCTTTGGCCCTGATCTGTTCGAGGTTCTTGGAGACGAACGCCCTGCCCATCGATGGCTGATTGTCGGTCCTGAGCGAAGTGGCTCAACTTTCCACAAGGACCCCAACGCAACGAGTGCTTGGAACGCTGTAATTCAAGGATCTAAGTATTGGATAATGTTCCCACCAGCTACACAGGTGCCCGGTGTTTATGTTTCCGATGACAGCAGCGAAGTCACCAGTCCCCTTAGCATTGCGGAGTGGCTTCTTACTTTTCATGAAGAAGCACGGCAACTTCCTGACTGCGTGGAGGGTATTTGCGAAGCGGGAGAGATACTTCATGTTCCCAGCGGATGGTGGCATCTGGTGGTCAATCTCGAGAGCGGCATTGCACTTACGCAGAACTTCGTGCCCCAGAGCTTGAGTCTTGTATCAGAAGTTGTTTCCTTCTTGCGGGACAAGGCTGACCAGGTCAGTGGATTCGATGATCAAGTGGCGGACCCTTATCAACTCTTCGTGGAGAGAATGAAGAGCAGCTATCCAGAAGTTCTACACAAAGCCCTGGACCTGGCCGACACGAAGAGCGGCAAAAAGCGTAAATGGGATGCTGCTGTTGGTGGAATAGACCATAACCAAGGGCAGGAAGGAGGTGACGGTTTCAGTTTTGGTTTCGGCGGCGATGGCGATGATGTTGAAATACCCTAGAAAGACTCCCCATTTCTACCCTTGCATTTCAATACAAGTTAGCGATTTATGGCTCCTTTCTTAGCTAGTAGAGAAATATGGGGGACTTAGCAGAAGCAAGCCCGCCCCCATCCTGCAAGATATAACATCAGGACCTGTGATACGCTCGGCAACCATCGAGTAGTCACCGGAGTTGCCACTGTGAGGTTGATGCAATTAGGCAATTAGGCAATTGGCAGTCAAATAGTGAGCGACGCTCTGTACAATGATTCGTTCTAGGTATGTTGCATGAATGTGGCGCCTGGGAGACAGACAGAATGTGCTATTCATTAGAACTGAAACCTCTATACTTGTTGTTACGATTAGACTCTTACTCAGTCGCAGCATCACTCAATCAGGGCATGTGATAGTTTCTTTTGTCTTCGAAAACACTACTAAGACCTAACTACCTACTCCTAGGTAGTGACATGACCTTGCCAAAACGGATGAAAGGAAAAGTTCTTTGTCCCTGAGATTTGTGTTCTAGTTGTGTACCTCTTCCCGTACTAGGAGACGAATTTATGGTATCTGTCGTGGCCAAAACAAAAAGAAAGAAAAATAGAAAAGAAAGAAGAGAAATGCCGCATGATCTGACATATCAACTAAGAATGCCTTTATTTGATCACCAACGATAAACGTGAAAGCAGACAGTCATCGTCGAATACGTGATGCCTAGGCTAGCTTGGCTGGATACATGCCCAGCTAAAAGTAAGGCAACTAATATCAAAACAATAACTCAAAATCAGGACAATGGTAATTGTTTCATACTAAAAGTGCCAAATTTTCTTCAGCCTCTATTCATTCAACCTTTATTGGCCTTATGCAAGTAACCAGAGACCAATACCTCACGTTTGCCTCAATTCTGTTCGGGCTGCCAGTTGTTAACTAACGGATACAAAGTACCCAAGTTGCCTAGGCACCAATCAGCTAATGCACGCCTGGATGTCTCTGCTAACAGACCCAACGTCTTGCAATTCCGAAACACGATCTGAATCACTTTCCCCCTAACTTATGAATCAATAAATGAACACTCGCGACGAAGATGGGCTGCACCTCCACTACCTTACTGTACTTACCTACCTGCCTACCAACCTACTAATGTATTGGATGGTAACCTGGAACTTTTCTCAACCTGCCACCCTACCTTAGCCTATGGAGGTACTTAGCCACTGTAGTTGATTCACGAACCCTCTACAGCTTAGCATCTCGTCTCCCTGAAGGCTTCCCGGGGGCCGTGTACTCCCCACTCGGCTTCCCGTCCGCCCTCCACCTTTCTATTACCTTAGTGATTGGACTAGTCTAAAGCTGTCCCTAACACTGCATCATCTCCCATCCTCTCCTCCTCCTTTTCACCGTCGTACCTAATTAATATTTTGCTTGAATGCGCTTGCGCTTCTCTTTGTTTTCGCCTTCACTGTCAATTTCAGTTTCCCTTTTATTTCGTCTCCTCTGCGTTCTTATTCTTGATTCCTATTCTCGTCCGTCTGCTTTTCTTGCCATATCTTTTAATCTGTAAGTTCCATTTGCTAACCCCCGTCGCCATCTGGCCTAGAACTGGACTCTATGTCCAACTCTCCGCCATCTGTCCGTTCTTCAGCTTCTCCGCCTTACCTCTTATATCGTCTACACGTAGCAAGACTAACTGAAGACTATCCAGCCTCTGCATCTTCTTGTTCTTCTCGCAGAACACCACTTTACAAGCTCGAAACACGGTTCCAGATACCGCTGCGCTTCGCATCAGCTCCACATTAGCTTATAGACCCCTGTTCTGCTATTGTGAGCCTCGATTTGCTCTGAGAAACCTGTCCATAGCTTCGACCCCTTTCTGTTCGAACCGTATTGAATAAAACAAGCCGGCATCATGGTTTCCGACGAGCACTTCGAGATGTGCTTGCCCATCTTGCAGGATGCAACCCTGGAAGACGAGGATAAGACAGATAGACTCGAGGAGCTCTTCCGCAAAGAAACGAGCCTCACCGGCACTTCTCTCGACAACGTAATACTAGATGCTCTTTGGCGGTTTCGTGACGGCGGCGGCACATCAGCGTCACCCCCTCCCATCAGACAGACGATCTTACGACGCCCTTCACCCGCCTCCTGGCGCGGTTCGCCAACTCCCATGTCGGGCTCTCCAAGACTGGCCGTGAGCCCCCTTGCTCCCCCGGGCTTTGTTCCCTCGACCTTTGGCAGGACAATCTCCTCTACGGTTTCTCCCTTTTCTTCGCCTCGAGCATCGCCACGTCTGGCTCTTGCGACACCCGTCATTCCTCATAGTCCAAACTTGAATGCATACGAATTTGCTAGCGACCCGACGCCGGCCACAGAGATTCTAGGTGAATACCAGACGGAAAATGTTGAGTGGCTCGTCAGTGATGATGCCGCTAGCGTGACTTCATCTGTCGGTACTCCGAGTGCTCTCAACGCAGCAGCCCCCGAGTTCTCGTCCATGTCGGCACAGTCAGCCGATATGTCGCCATATGATATGTTGCGTTCCATCCTTGGGCAGACAAAATCCGATGATGAGATTGAAGCCGCTCTTGCGCAGAATGGTTATGATCTCAGCGCAACTATTGTCTCCTTTATGGAAAGCCAAGCAGGTGACAACCAGCCCGGCGGTGTTTCATTGGAAGAACCCAAAAACGTCCTGATTGGGAAATCCGTGGATCGCCCTACTACTCCCCTAGGTCAATCGAAGTCGGGGGTCATTTGCAAGTTCTATATGTCGACTGGTTCGTGCTTGCGCGCCGATTGCCGATTCAGCCATGATCTCAGCAACCACCTTTGCAAGTATGTTTTCGTGCGAGTCTCTCCGTATTGTAAGCTAAAATTTCTCTTGCAGATATTGGGTCATGGGGAATTGCTTGGCAGGGGAGACATGCATCTTCTCGCATGATCCTACCAAACTTATGAATAAGCTCGCCCTTGACGGGGCCAGTACGCCACCATCCAAGCACGGCGGTTTACAGCTTGGAGATCTTAACTCTTTTCCTTCTCTAAGACCTGGAACTCCCGATCATCTAAGTGGTTTCGCTGGCAGCAACAGTTTCCCTGCTGTGGGCATTACGCCACCACCAGGCTTGAAGCATTTCCAGGGAACTTCCAGTCCCCGTGCTCGATCTCGCCCTAGCAGTCGACATCAGACCAGAGAGCCGGATATCTCCGCCCCTGCTCTAGATGACAACGATGCCTTTCCTTCACTTGGTTCTGCATCTATCAAGCAAGGCAAGAAGCATCATGGCAAGCGAGGTGGCCATGGACATTCGCACAAGGAGAATCACGCGCCTAATTCTCTAGCTGATATTGTCAAGATGTCTCCCTCGCCCATCCCTGTCCGTCCCGAACTCAAGAGAGGGCTGGGGCGCAATGGAAGCTCGACAGTTGCACGAAATGGGGAAAACAGCGCTGCAGCTCAGGCCATTCCCAGTCCCAAGCATATCCCGTGGCTGGAGACCGGTGAGCGTGCTAACAAGGCGTATTTGAAGGCTCGCCAGGAGGCCATTAAGCACGGCGGCCTTCGTAATAAGTTTCTTCAAAGGTGTGTGTTCTCGCAGTAAGAATTAGGCGTTTGCCGTGTGCTGACTGGCTGTCACAGTGCTGCGCAAGCATGGAATCGCAATGACGCTAGGGCGGCTAAAGCTCTCAGCCTGCGGGGACAAAGCGAGAACGATCTTATGCGCAAAGCTCATCGCGAGGCTGCAAAAGAACTATACGAGGAACGTAACAAGGGCAACTCCCATGATTTGGAATTGTACGTCGATCTTCACGGTCTTCACCCAGAAGAAGCTGTCGAGTACCTCGAAAAGGTTTTGATGGAAAACGGTAGGGAGTCGCAACCCATTTATGCCATCACCGGCTCTGGACACCACAGTAAGAACGGAAAGGACAAGGTTGGCAGGGCGATCCGGAACTTTCTTAACGAGTGGAGGTACGCTTACCGGGAGTTCTCGGTTCCTGGAGACCGCAATAATATGGGTGGTATTCTGGGAATCGATGCTCGTAGCTGGGACAAGTCTCTCGCCAAGGAGGGCGACTCAGATGGTAAAGAAGAGGTGGACATACTGAGTCAAGGCGTCGAGATTGGCGACGGCAAAGTCAGACTCCTGGTGCGTGATCCGCCCAAGGGGCCCAGCGGCCGTCGATGACAACGCGAGACATAAATAGAAGAAAGCAGTAAAATCAGACTCCGTTCTATAAGCCAATGTGTTGAAAGTTGCATGTGATACCTGTCGATTTAGTCACCACCTTACCTGAGATTGACTTTGATACCTACTTTCTGATATATGTATACAAGCCCATGTATAGGTTTGACAGGATAGGATTAGCGCCATGCTTAGCGGGGCACTTCCGCTCCGGATTCGCTTAGACTAGCAACGTCGTGTAACTTTGGTGCAGCCCCAATGAAACGACGTCGACAGCTCCAGCTCTACATCACCATTAGATCTTCTTCGAGCGATATCGAATGCGAAAACACGACTGTTGTTGACTGGTAAAGCCGGTCCTCTGATCTTATATACCACCAGAAAGTCACCCTGACCCTATCCTCAAGGTCCCCAATCTCACACTATAACCTCATTTCCATCCGCGCGTTCCGAATCTCACCTATATCGAAACCCAATACACAGACATGGCCACATAGCCCCCGTCAGAATTCAACTCCTACTCCTACTCAGTCAATCGAAACCCAAGATCTTTTCATTAAACATGCCTGCGGATTACAACTCAACCGCCCAGGCTCTCGCCCTATCTCCAGACCGTGGCTCCTCTCCCTCGCCAAGCCGTCCTCCCTGGTCTACGACGTCCTCGAGCCGCCGTTTATCGAACCCGCTAATGAATCGTCGCCGCGCGAGCACTAGCTATGCTGGCGGTGGTAAGACGAGCTTTGTGCGCCGCATATGGGGTAGCGTCAATCTGCTTGGTGAGCAGGTTCTGAAGGTGTATCTGCGCCTGTCACCTGTCCAGAGGATTCTTGCCCTCGTAGGCGTTGTCGCAGCGGGCGTGCTTGGCATTCTGGCTATTATCTACTCGCATGTCTTCTTCAAATGGCTTGAGCCAAAGGCCGAGCAGTGGCGCGCTCTTCCAGGAGGTTGGACTCTGGCCTTTCTGCTGGTCTTCGTCACTTCGTTCCCTCCGATTGTTGGATACTCGACCGCGAGCACAATCGCGGGTTTTGTGTATGGGTTTCCCTTAGGCTGGCCCATTGTTGCATCCGGATGTACGGCTGGTGCTCTTTGCGCGTTCCTCGCAAGCAGAACTGTTTTAAGCAGCTATGTTGATCGCATGGTTGGTCGAGATCATCGCTTTGTCGCTCTTGGTCAAGTGTTGCGCCAGGAGGGAATTTGGTATCTTACGGCTATCCGATTCTGTCCACTTCCATTCAGTCTGAGCAATGGCTTCCTCGCCACTATTCCCAGCATTACACCTCTGGCGTTTACCATTTCCACAGCATTGTCAAGGTATGTTCACTAATGACTGGTATTTGCCCGGTCCTGATCGCTGATGTCAATATGATTTTAGCCCCAAACTGCTCGTCCACGTTTTTATCGGCAGTCGTCTTGCTCTGCTAGCTGAGAAGGGCGATAAAATGTCCGCTGGTAGCAAAGCCATTAATTATTTAAGCATGATTTTGGGTGCTGCCGTCGGTCTTATTGTTGGGCTTATCATTTACCGTCGTACTATGGCTCGTGCCGAAGAGCTCGCGCGTCAAGAAGGCCTTGAGCCTACAGATCTATCAGCTGAAGAGGGCGAGGCCGGCTATGCTGACTCTGAAAACACAATGCTCATGGATCCTGAAGATGCAGCCGTGTTAATGTCGGACGATGATATTTCACTGTGGGGTAGAGATGGTACAGACAGCAGATATCACGATGATGATGATGATGATGATGATGATGATGAAGAAGAAGAAGAAGATGATGATGAAGGAAACACCAATAAGAGGAGGGACCGAAGGGTTTGAACTCACATTTTAACGGGAGGCTCGACTCAAATTGGGGATAGCAACGACAAGATTATTCAATACTAAAGTTATGGATATTGGGCACGGCTCGGTTATATTGACTGCACATCTTTACATGGACTAGATGGCGTTTTGGGCATCACTATATGTATTCGGTTGCAATTGGTATCATAGAGGACGATGATGTGTTTGAATCAACTGCTTTTTCAAAACCATCGGAGCCATCGTTGAATACGCTTAAGCCACAATCGAAACATGTACGGAGTAACCAATTGCAACTTGCGGCTGCTACGTCAGCCCGATCAGTATGCGTTGAAATAAAACTTTACAAAGACTTTCGTAATACCATCGCTTGCATCCCATAAAATCGAATTCGCCAACGCCGTCGCTTATGCACTCTCATCCCAATGCTATAACTGAAAAGTGAAACACCACCATTATGGGAATTACTGGTTCCCCCTATATTGGTTCATAAATTGTATAGCCTGATCCATTGGATACCCAATGAAAACAGGCCCAGTGAAGATCATTTGAGGTCCGTCGTTTGTCCCTTTGGTCATATCAGGGTTGATGAAGGCAGGCTGAGGAGGTGACGTATGTTGATGTTGGTATTGGTATTGATGTTGATGTGGAGGGGGTGGAGGGGGTCCGCCCTCCTTATGAGGTGAGGATGAAACCGTGTGTTCTGGTACTTTAGGGGGGGCGTCATGTTTGAATGGTGAGGGCACACCCATGGCAGCCAATTTTGTATGATCAAATGGACATTTGCCTGGCGTCTTCTTTATTGATTCTTGGGCACTGGTTGCAGCTTGTGCGGAAATCGGCATACAGACAGGCGCCGGTGGTGGTGAGAGAGGTTGGTCGTCGCCTTGGCCTGGGAGGTCGTAGACTGGAATAGATATTCCCCAAGGCCGACTGGGCGATTCTCCAACACGTACTTCCTTTAGGGGCCGATCGAAATGACTCTGCCGGTCTCCATCCTCCAGAGTCGGCACCTGTGTATTATCCGGGTCCGAATTTACACTAACAGCTTGTGCCCAGTTCTCAACTCTTTCATTAGATGGCTGGGCCACGTCATTTGGTCGATTCGGATCCTGTTCAGCCTCGGGTAGCATAGGTTGGTGAAGCTGACCCAGCCCTTCAATCATGCTCACTATATCGCCATACTTGGAATCTATCTTCTTGATTTGATCTTCGTCACGTTGGTACCGGCGGAGGCAAACTTCATGGCTTCGGGGGAGTTCATGTTTGTGCGTCTCAACATAGTGGGCGATCTCCTCAGCAGAGTGTTTGTCCATGTAACGAATGGGACACTTGACAGCTGATGAGCCGTTTGTGTTTGTGCGGGCTTGCTGAGAAGTAGATTCTTCGTACATGGCTGCGCAGATAGGGTCCGTCGAATGATGTGGAGTTGTGTCCTGTGCATCTTCGTCGCGGGCCCCAGAGCCGCTAGCCGTGGCAGGCTTGGAGAACGGGCATTGAAGATGGCCCTTCTTTCCTTGGACCGTGAAGTCTTGTTCTAGCGCCGTCGACATGGAAGTGGCTACGTGGGAAGGTTGCGACTCGGTCTCTCTGCTGGAGCCAGTGCCAGTGGTTTTACTCGTTTCGCCCAGCGAGGCAAGCTGATTAGCTACTCGGCGTCCGTCACGGATGACGAGGGCAAGCTGGTGTTGGGAACCGGAGCTGTACGCGCGTGGAAGAGGAACAGGCAATGAATTATCAACAGATGTATACGGAGGTATCTGGAGCTTGGCCAGGGTATCAGCTATTTCTGGCGCGGCTGGAGCATATTTGTCAGCCAGATACTGGAACTGTTTTTGGTTTCGAGTCAGCGATGAGTCCATTGCAGACGATGGAGGAAGAAGATGTTGATAGGTCAGATATCAGAAAAATATGTTATCAATCTCGGCAACAGGGTCATTCATCCTGATGCTCTTGATCTAGAGCTAATGATATTCATCATGCTGACTTGGTAGTGGGGAAGAAGCCGACAGCTCCGGTATCGCCGAAACAATCCCAGGACATCGCGCAGCCAGGATACGTAGACAGGTATTGGGAAAAGCCGGGTTCTAGGCCTGGAACTACTGCGTGGGGTAGAAAATATTTCTTCTTACCTGTTCATGAGCAAAGCGAAGCTTGTGCTCCAAGACGGTCTTTCGATCTGTCAAGGTCTGGACTTCATCAGCAAGGGCGTTGAAAGCATCTGCCAACGTGTGCGCAAGATGAAGATATGCCATGCCCTTGGCTGTGAGTGAGTGCGATAGAGAAAGAGAGGAAGAAGAAGAAAGTTGAAAGGAAGAAGAGGAGATGAAATATTTATTAGATGGGGAAGAAAGAGGAAGAGATTTGCTAGATCCCGACAGGAGTGCTGTTGCCAGAGCAAGACGGCAACAAAGTGGAGAGGTAATGGCACTGATTGGCCTGTTTATATGCAACAGCGGGTACGGTAGGCTAGGTGGCAGCTAAAATTTAGGGTCCTTCCATCCTTCCAGTGGGTGACAGTGTTGTTGCTTCTGGGGAACAGGACGAATTCAGTAATTTACAGCCGAGCCACTTCGGAGCGGAAAGTTCGTGATTCGCAAGAGGGCCGGGACATGACGATGAGGCTCTATTGGCTCCACGTTGAGGTTCTTAGGCCATTTCTACCTACCGACCTTAGAAACCTATACATAATGTGGTCTGACGCACCATGTGCTGGCAGTAGGTGCTTCCTTGTCTGGGTACATAGCGCGAAGCCTGGTCCCTCTAGAGCGGATTATGGAGTGGAGGTGAAGAACAGACCGAGACAATGCTAATACATAGGTAGGTACCTAGGATCAGAAGCCAAAACTACCTACCTACCCTGTAGATGTTTTTGACCGCTGTGATAAATTCCTCAAGTCAGGTAACAATAGACAAACTAACTAGATTATCTGGGCGACCGGGTCTTATTGTCTCTGTTATTATCCTAACAATCTTATTAGTTGATTAACTACGATACCTCAGAGGTTATATGTACGTGTTGGATTTGAGCATAATACCGGTAATCACCAACCATGAAAAGTCCACAAAATGATGCACATATTCTGCTTTCTGAACATGGACACAGCTGGAAAACTCTATGACATAGTAAACGAAACTTGGACTTATCTACAGAATATAACAATAGGGCTAAGCCAATATAAGCAGTGCTATCTGTAGAAAGAGTCTAAGTTATGCTTTATTTAAGACTGCCTATCGATTCACCTACCTACCAGAGTAGGTAAGAGGTAGGTAGGTGGTTTGGCATTCAACATCTTACCCGCCGACCCCGCCATCACTAAAACACCATCACTATCACCCCCTGCTATTGTAACACGAGTCACCATGTCTACGCCTGATAGCTTGTCCATCCCCCAAGCCGAACTGGTCAGCAGGAAATCTCACGTGCTGCCTGGGCAATTATGTGTTACGGAGCTCTTCTTCAAGGTACCCCTCGACTACACGGACATCCAGGGCCCTTCCATCACACTATTCGCTCGTGCTGTCAAGAAACACGATGTTCCCATATTCCCACCCGATGATGAGGAGTCAGAGAACAGCCCAAAAGACGAATTTGGCGAGCCTCCAAAACCATATATGGTCTATCTTGAGGGAGGACCGGGCTTTGGCAACCGTGAACCGCAGGACCATCCCCTCACCCGCCACGCTCTTGCAAAGGGATACCAGCTTCTCTTACTTGACCATCGCGGCGTTGGCATGAGTACACCAGTTGGTGCTGATATGCTAAGCCTTGTATCTGGAGACGTTGAAGGGCGTACTCGGTACCTCGGCCTCATGCGCCAGGACAACACAGTCCGGGACTGCGAAGCTGTAAGGAAGTATCTTACCGCCTCATGGCCCGCTGCCAAACAACCATGGTCCATCTTTGGCCAGTCGTACGGAGGCTTCATCTCACTATCCTATTTGTCCATGCACCCAGAAGGTCTTCGGGAAGTCTTTCTCACTGGTGGTCTAGCCCCTGTGGGTAAGAAGCCTGACCAAGTATATGAAGCAACATTCCAACGGGTCATACAGCGCAACGAGCAGTATTACGAAAAATTCCCAGAGGACGTCGAAAACGTCCGTCAAGTGGCCAAGTTCATAGAGAGTAAAGGTGGCAGTATTCCATTGCCATCTGGCGGTGTCCTCACCGTTCCTCGTCTCCTGACCATAGGCATTTCCTTTGGAAGCCATGGTGGCTTCGACCAGGTTCACTCTACGATCCTGACTTTAAAAGCATCCCTCGATCAGTTTGGGTTTTTCAACAGAGCATCCCTATTACCACTTGAGGGCTGGAACCCATTTGATACCAACATCATATACGCCATCCTTCATGAGGCCATATATTGCGACGGCCCTGGTTTAGCTTCCGCCTGGTCAGCGAATCGCGTTGGAAAAGAACTCAAGCCGTTCTCCTGGCTGGATGACAACTACTCAACGGAATCTACCAGCGGATGCCTCTACTTCTCTGGAGAAATGATTTTCCCATTTCACTTCGAAACTTACCCAGAGCTCCAAATACTTCGCCAAGAGGCTGAGTTATTGGCCAGCCGTGATAACTGGCCCGCTCTTTACGACCAGGAGAGGCTTCAAAAGAATAAAGTTCCTGTATATGCCGCCTCGTTCGTTGAGGATATGTACGTCGACTATGAATTTGCAAGAGACACAGCCAAGCTTGTCAAGGGTACAAAGACGTTTGAGACGAACGTCATGTATCACTCGGCATTGAGAGCGAAATCGGACGAGGTGTTGCAGCAATTGTTTAGCCTGAGAGACGATGTCATTGACTAGAATTGGATGTCTTGCAAGACTGGCATACCTGCAGAAGTTAAAGCCGCCAAGAAGAATAACTTTACGCAAAAGATGAGATAGATATGAGAGCTGGTACCTACTTTATTCAAGTAAAAAAACAAAAAAATCCCAGTGGCTGGCCATACTCATAGTGTACTGAACCGGCCTCAAGTGTGTAGACGCAACAGCAAAGAACAACGACCGCAAACCGCATCGAGTTTTATAACTAATGACTAGTGATAGGCTCGTGTTCGCGCAGGTGCACGACCCAAGTTCTGCCACTCGTCTTCATAAGCAGTAGTATGAACATGCTCCATCGATGGCAAATCCGCCGCTGGCTGCGAATGCCTCATGACTGTCTCTCGTAGAATAGTAGCAGCGAGCTCTGGGTTGCTCACCAAGAACTCACTTGTCTCTACAGGCGCGCGCTTCCAGAGAAGTGGCTGAAGGAACCCAACGCGTGCCATGACCATCTTGAGCAAGTCATCGACTTCTGGCACGCTGTGATAAAGTTTTCTGCAAAGATGCATCATCTTTGGTTGTGCAGCATCCCAGCCTGCTGTCTCGAGCATATCAACACACGACCGCATCACTGCCTTTCGAAAGTCGTCCATAATATAACGTGTCGCGCAAATATAAACGTCGAGGTTGAGCTCATACGCCAGGAACCAGGTCCGAAGATCCTCTCCCGTGATACGCTCCGGTTGGCTCTGCTGAGGAGGCATCGGAATGCTGACAGGAGGAGGGAAAACACCTGGAGGATGGATCCCTCTTCTAGGAGCCCCTCGACCATAAGGCACAGGCACAGGAGGATTGCCTTCGCGGGATCGCTGAGCCCCGCACTGCCAGCACCTCGAAAAGTCACGCCGAGCGAGGCATCGAGGACACGAGCAACCCGGTCGATGATGTCCCGGATGCTTCTCCTGGGTTTCTTCCGCCTCAGCATGTCTCGTTTGTCGAGCCCGACGCCGGCGTCTCCATGAGGCACCCGAGCTCTCAGAACTGCTACTGCTACTTGACGAGCTCGAGTCAGAAGCCTCTGCTGGCTCTGGGTCAACTTCAATACCCTTTCCCTTGTCGACTTCTGGTTCTACTGGCATATCAGTACTCGTGGGTCAGGACTAGGCTGTAAGCTGGTTGATTCACCTAGAACGCTCGCTGCTGGCTTGATAGGTTCATAGCAACCCTCGTATAGAAATGCAACAAGAAAATGAAAAATAGCCGGATCCTCCTCTGGCAGATCAATGAATTGCTCACTTGCTTCTCTGAAATTTCCGCATAAGGCTTTTTGGAACCACTCTGCCTGGACAAGTATGTCTTTGTGAACCTGGAACCCTGTTAGTTCAACTGGCCTCCATGTCAATAGATCGCTACCTTCACATACGTAGAAGGTTTGCATGTTGTTCAAAGGACCAACTCGTATTGGTACAGGCGCAGAGCAATATCGGCCGTCTGCTGAACTGACCCAGAGATCTTCTGTTGTGCTAGGGAGATGTTCTTCTTTCTCCTCCTCGTAGACTCTGTCTATCACCATAACCTGAGGCTGAGGAACGCCCATAGCATCGGCCAAGGTGTGCACTGTGACGGTTGAGCCTGCAATCTCTGCATTTCCCGCATCATCCGCCATAACAAAGCTACCAAGTACTGATCCAGTTCAGACCAGTATTTCTCTAGTCAAGGGATGGCGCGAGGGCGCGTGAAAAGCGTAAAATGAGGCTTTCAGAACGTTCTATCTCCCGAAACACCATGGAAAATAGGACTAGAAATAGACATAGGTAGCCCATCAACCACACACACAGGGCACACACACTCACACCATCTTGGCGTCCGGTCTAAGCCTAGAAACAGCCAACAACATGTCAAGCATGTGGATGGTAGACGGCGACCAATTGAGTGCCACAGCCGCCCAACCTTCTGGCTGTATTCTGGCGCAGAATAAGCAGGGCGCAGACGAAGTGCAGCGTTACAAGCGCTTGGTTGGCATAAGACAATGCTTGGTCACCAAGAGACCAATCGCTGATAGGCAAGGTCTTCATCGAGTTTCCGAACATTCTCAGCAAACAGGCCACCGGAAAATGATCAATCACGCCTCCTGCACGAACAAGGGACAGCTCCCCATTCATTTCCTCTAATGCAACATTTTCTCAATTCTTTGCTCAATTCCCTGTGAGAGGCGGCGGCAAGCCGGCTGGTCTAAACAGGGGTAAGTTCGTCCATTTCTTACCTGGGATCTATGCCTCCGCTCCCACGCGTATTATCGACGCGCGTCTGCGAACGACAAATGCATCATGAATCGATCTCAATCCGGAGGGTGATTCAACTCACCACCCTTACAGTTGGTGTTCGTGATCAATGTTTTGCTAGTACACACGCCGACTCGCGAGGCACATGCCTCCCTCAGGCGTGCACTCCTAGGCCACTCGATACGCTTGATGCAGCCATCTAT